ACAATTCATATTGTCTTATTAGCAAGCTCAATTTATTCCTTTTTACTTCGTACGTGATAACTAAGGTGTCTCAACTTTCTTTTTCTCCTTGGTTAGCATGAACCTTCCTGTATTCTTCTTCTGAGAGAGCACACATTAGAAAGTTGTGAGCTATAGAATTTAACAGGTAGCACTGCTTTTGTTCGCCCGTCCATTAGCTTTTCGAGAGTGGTTCTCCGTCTTCATTTGCAGGAATATAGTTATTGTTCTCCACAACGTCCCAAATGTCGATATGACATGATTCAAAGAATGTGATCATTCTTTGTTTCCAGTAGTCGAACTTCTCGCCCTTGAAGAGTGAAGGACAGTTGACGGAGTATTCCTCGTTTTCCATTCCTCAGGATCGTTTCCTCAAGTCTTGCTAAGAACTAACCCCACGAGAATACCAATTAAAGTATCTTAAAAACACTAGAAGGGGGGCTTGAATAGTGTTAATGGAAAATGTTTTCACAATCATTCTAATATAGCATGTTATCGAGCTGTAGAAATATTCTTTTGAAAGCTTAGACGCTCGACTTAAGATATATGTATAAACGTTGATAAGTTTGTCATGCTATTCAGAATATATCTAATGTAGTGTTTTGTAAGAACTTTCTTAAAGAAAAATAATCGTTTTACTTGGAAGTCCTTGTATTTGAAATATAAAGGATTGAATTTGGAGTTCTATCCAACGGTTAACAAAGCAAAGATTGAATTTTTACTAAAGTAACTCGAAATCGAAAAATTATGCAAGTTCAAGCTACACAAATTATTTCTTCAACTACAAACTTATGAATTAAAATCTCAATGATTAAAATGATTTACTATGTCTTTAAAACTTTATATAAAAAATTCATTTTGATTCAATGGTTAACAAAGAGAGAATAAAAACTTTTACCAAAAATAACTAGATAGTATGTGGAGACCTAACGTTTACACTAAAATACATGAATTATTTCTCTTAGCATAAACCATGTGGAGAACTATATTCTAACAATACTCTTCAAAAGCACTACAAAAAAATAAGTATTTAGTATAGGTTCTTTTTTCAATTTGTGGAGGTTTTTACCCTCCTCAAATTAATTTACGGATATTTTTCAAACATCTACAATTAGAGTCACTAAAATCGATTTGAGCAGATTTTTAATGATCTTTGGCATTGGATTTATATTACAGAAGTTTCTTTGTGAAATATTTTATCCTCTTTTATTAGTGATGAAGATTTAAAATTAATTTCAACAATATATATAAATAAATAAAAATAAGATTAAGAACATTGAATAAAACAAATACGAAAAGATAAATGAAAACGAGAGTTTACATACCCACTCAATAAAATAAAATAAATATAAATAATAAAAACAAATAAACTAAAAAATGAAGTTAATATATAACGCCTTATCAAATAAAATAAATATTAAAATAATATAAATACAAATGAGATTATAAACATGTAATACAAATTATTAGCCTCAATAACATCTTACTACATAAATCTTAAAAAAAAAAAATCGTTTAAAAAGATAAATAGCGAAAGGAAAAATAGTAACCGTGGAATGAAAAGAAGCATAACCATTTTTGTTTTGGCTATGGTTCTTTTGGTGTTAGCAAAAGAAACTTTTTGTGTATATGTGTGTATAAACGTCTTATATGAAGTTAAAATAACTACAAAGAAAACAATATTATTGAGGGAAAAGCCAAAGGTTAATTTTGAAAAGATGAAAAGAAAGTTGGATTGTACATGGAAGAAATAGATGATTCAGATGGTTGACAGTGTGTGGGAAGATTATTCACTAAATGGTGCCCTTTAATATTAATTCAATTTCACATATATAATTTCATTAGATATCTGATCTTTTTTAAATGACATGAATCACTTAAAAAAATAATTTTAAATTTAATTTAAGTTTATAAAAGAAAGTTATATTTATTTATTTAATGTAATTTGATATATTTTTAATTAATATGATATGTGTAATATTATGCGAAAAGATTCAACAAAAGGAAGAAGATCGTTGTAACGATAATTGCATTGACTTTTCGCAAGGTAGCTTGGGGTAACTATGAAGCATTATAACTATAATAACTACTTCACCATATAGTATCGTGGTAAATTGATTTTATTTATTTATATATATATAGTAATTTGGTATATTTTAATCAGTATGCTATTTTTAATATTATGGGATAAAATTCAACAAAAAAAAAAGTTGTAAAGAGTTGAAAATTTTCAATAAGTTTTTGTAAATGGAAAATATTTATCTTTACGTTTAATCTTATGGAGAAAAAATACAGTCACCACACTCAGAAAACTTGTTGAATAGGTGGCAACTGGGGTAACTAATATAATTACTTCACCATAGAGTAGCGTGGTGGCTTCATTCCAGATTAATGTTGGATTGCCAAACACGTAAGAAACCGTATTAATAAGTAATAAAAATACTAAACACATGTGCAGTGTTAAGGAAGTATTTGATGTGTATAAAAGGGAAGGTGAAAGTGTGTGGAATATGCAGAGATTGAAGAAAACATAGATATGGGGAGTGAGTATAACAAATGGATCATTTTGGCTTTTGTGATTGCTATTTCTTTCTCCGTCATCATGGAGGGAGCACTCGCAGCACGACAGCTCATGCAAGTCCTCGGTCTCCCCGGTCTCCCCGGTCTCCCCGGTGTCCCCGATCAATCCCGTTTCCCCAGTCTCCCCCGTTTCCCCGATTTCCCCGGTTTCCGCGATCTCCCCGGTCCAACCAGCACTACCCCCTAAGTTAAAGGAAACTTGTGCCCTAATCTCTACTCTCCTTTCCATTTCATTTCTCCCTTCCATCATCTCTCCTCGTTTCATGTTTAATAAATGATTAGGGCAATCTAATAAATAATATATATATTATGTATATCTTATATGTTCTCTCTTTTCTCTCCACCTTCTGTTTTTTTTTCTTTTCTGTACTTCTAGTAGTTTCTTTATTTTCTGCATTTTCTTCGTTTAATTAGTATAGACAAACTTGTATAATGTATATTGCAAGACTCGCCTAATCATAGAATAGATAGAGTCGTCTAATGCATATTACTAAATTAATCTAATATATGTATGAACAGATTCGTCTAACGTATATTATTAGACTAATGTAATCTTAAACTCATCTAATCAATGTATTGAATGACTCATCAAATATTTTTTACTATACTCATCAAATCAGTATACAAGCAAATTCGCCTAATGAGGTTATGAAAACCTCATATAATTAAAATGAATCTCAATATAGAGATAAATATATAAGTGGGATATATATAGTAACACCTCACTAAATAAAAGTAAATATGAATGAATATGAGATTTGGAACACCTTATAGGAGCAAAATGTTTTTGATAATAAAGACAAATAAATATTAGAAAAATTATAAATGAAACATACACAAGCAAAAAATGTAATACAAGCTTCCCTTACCTCAAAACAGCTTGACCAAGTAAAACTATACTTCTCAATACACTACAAAAATCTGCAATTTTTTCGGGGGTTATTTTTGACGTTACCGGTGGTTTTAATCCCCGGAAAACGCATTTCCCGCGGTTGGGAAAACCGCTGAGAAAACTGCGTCACTAAATAAGTACCGACAATTTTTTTCAAAACCACCGATATTAGCGAGGGTTTGTGAAAACCACATTTCTAGGAGTTTTATGGAAAACCGCCAGTATTAACAGGGGTTTGCAAAAACCACCGGAATTTTCAGGGGTTTTTTTGGCAACTGGGGTAACTAATATAACTAGTTCACCATAGAGTAGCGTGGTGGCTTCATTCCATATTAATGTTGGATTGCCAAACACGTAAGAAACCATATTAATAAGTAATAAAAATACTAAACATGTGCAGTGTTAAGGAAGTATTTGTTGGTTGATTTGATTATTTGATGTGTATAAATGGGAAGGTGAAAGTGTGTGGAATATGCAGATTATTAATTTTTTACATTTATAACGTTAAACTAACAAAATTTAAATATAAAATACATAAAGAATGATTAAAAAGTATATCAAGAGTTTAAAGATATTTACTAAAATATATTAAGATTAAAATAATAAGACTTATATTTTTCAATTTTTCATATTTTTAAATAATTTAATTCATTTTACACACATTATTATTTTGACTGTTACATAATTTAATAAATATTTTATTTATATTAATCAAGGCTTAGAATCACTATATTACAGGAAAAAACAATGGATACATAGATAGTAGATAAATTTGTAGTCTTTCAAAATGTTTTTGTTGGTTAGTGAATATTTGAAAAATTTTATTAACTCTATACAAAGAAAAACATTGAAGTATTACAATAAAAAATGTTCTTTTGAGGATCAAATATATCGAGGATCGGGTTCGAGGATTTAATAATTTATCGTGATTGATTCGTTGTGTTAGAGGTTTAAGGATGCTATTGTTATTACTATTGGCACTACAAAAATATGTAATTTTTCTAGGGGTTTTTTTTAGCATTACCTGGGGTTTTAACCTCCAAAATACACGTTTTTTGCGGTTGCAGAAAATCACTGGAAAAATCACCGTCACAAAAATTATCGACGGTTTCCGACAAAACCGTCCCTATTTCCAGGGAATTTTGGAACCCTAGAACTAATCGGGGTTGTGCTGAAGCGCCTATATTTCCAGGGGTTTTTGAAAAACCGTCGAAACTAACCGGGATTTCCAAAAAACCGCCGAAAATGCTTTCAGATCATTTTTTGTGTTCAAATTGAATTATGATAAATCTGATTCAAATTGAATTTATAAATCTGGTTTTAATATAATCTAAAATTGAATATTATTATATAAAGTAAATTATACATTATTAAAGACAAAGATATTCAATACTATAAAAATTAAAAACAACAATGTTCAATACTATAAAAATTAAAAACAACGATGTTCAAAATTAAAAACAAAGATGTTCAATACAAAAAATTAAAGACAAAGATGTCAAACAAAGATGTTCAATACAAAAAATTAAAGATAAAGATGTCTAAGGTTCTTCTTCTTGGTTTCTTCCATGTTCTTTAGTATCCCTCTCATAAAATAAGGCAACTGGTTTCCTGTATTGAACATAAACTCATATGTTAGCATCAGGCCATCCATACCAAGCTTTTCTTTATCCGATAATAATACAAAGAGACCTTAAGTAAAAAGCTAATAAAGAAATCATGAAATGAGACCAAATGAAGTTTTACACAATTCAATGAAACTGCAAAAGATAATGCATGTCACCAATGGCTAACAAAAAAATTAATAGTTAATATATTAAATATATAAAGTATTTTGGATTAGCTTCACCAATGGCTAACAAAAAAATTAATAGTTAATATATTAAATATATAAAGTATTTTGGATTAGCTTCACCAATGGCTAACAAAAAAAAATAATAGTTAATAAATCAAATATATAACGTATTTGGATTACTATGAAAAGGATTATTTATAATCAGTTATTGTCACAATCCGTTATAAAAAAAATTGCTTGGATATGTTACGTGACAACATATTATAAGATAGTCTATTTCAATAAACAAGATGTCTAATAAATCACATTTTTCATAATTAAGTTAAAAATAAAAAATGTATTAAATTATTTGTCATAATTTATTTCGTATTATAAATCATAAACACTTTAAGGTTAGAAATAAAATAGAAAAACAAGAAAATCACCTATCAGATTTTAATAATAAGCTTCATGATTTTGCATGAAATAAGATAGATTTTTACTTTAGCTCCCCAAAATCATATCATTCAAATACGCACCTAGTTTCTGAAACATAGCTAAAACAACTTGTAATACTCTATCCCAGACTGTAGTAATAATCAAGTAAGCTCTCAATAGTTGCACAACAAAACTTGCACAAACAGGAAACTAGAGGAACAAATGCATATCAATGAAGAAGCAAGAGGAGATCAATAAATAAATGCAAATGATCATGTACACCTTAAGAAGATGCATTAAATAATTAACAAAGCACGTTTTCAGTACCCCAAGCTCCATCCCAGAGAAAAAGAAAGAGAAAAATGTTCATCTTTTTTAATCATGACAAATGTTCATCTTTTTAACAGGTTAACCTTTTTTATAAACCTTTTTAATCTGAGAACTAAGCCTTCTCAGAACTAGGTGGGGCCAAAAACATAGATTTAATGATATGAATTACATATGCTTTTGCAAACCCATATTTAGAGTAAAGTCTCTTTAACTGGTTACTCCAAAAGTTCAGTTTAGTTTTAATTCATGCCTTCTAGTCAGTCTATTTGAATTTGACCATATGGGCAACCTAACTAATCCAATACCTTAAGAACTGTAACTATCAACATGGTCAGTTCAAGCAATAAAACTAAAATCAGTACTACATAAAAATGCTTACCATGGACCTCATCAACTAATCGCTTGAAATCCTCAAGAGTACCATATCTGCTACTAATAGCAAAATAATTTGTAACCTGCACCATTGAATCAATGTTTGAGCATGTCACTAAAGGTCAGAGTGGTAATAAAATTCTAGCAAAACTTATAAACAATTATAAGCAGCATGCCAGCATGTACAAGGTGTGCACATAGTTTGTGTCAGTGTCAAGACTTAAAAAAAACATGTATGCCTTTTGTACAATTCATACACATAACTTAAAATAAAGAATCTTAATCACTGTGTAATTACCATGAGAAAAATAAGAATTACAACATTAACTTACTCTGTAACCAATATTAATATAATCCTTATGTTCAACAATTATAATCAGTTGGATGACATTGTATCCAGCTTCCTTAATGTAAGGAAGAACTTGCATTGTTTATTGAGAATATTTTGCAACAATATAAAATCAACAGAACCAATTACAAATATAGACATGGAAGATATGTATAATGGAATAATTATAAATTCCAACCAAAAGAAATGGGGGAAACCTTGTCTGTGAAATCATTGAATGAGGATATTTTGGGTTCAGAACCACTAATTCCAACATGAGCATCGTATATTCGCAGGGATTTGGTACTTTGGGACTTCTATTTTTCCACTTTTATGCTTGCTCAAGGGGTGGTTCCAAGTGAATTGCATAAGCTTGCTTTCCATCAACCTTTGCAATGCATTAAATCATCATCATTGATAACACAAATTAAAGGACCTCCATCTCCATCCTCCAAAAACAGAGTGACCAAAGGTCCAGACGAATTTTTCCATAAGCACTTTAAGGAAAAACTATAAAAAAACGTTACAAATAAAAATTTAGGAACATTATTGTAGTACTTCTTATTTTAACATATCTTTCAAGACATCAAGAATATAGAGAATTTGTTCAGCTTCCTCAATTCCTTCACGGTACTTGCATTTGCTCCATGAACAAGCAATATAAACCAATTGCGACTTCACCCAACATTTTCACCACCACAAGCCACCACGAGACAAAATTAGAACCTGCGAAAATCCCCAAATCAAAGACCAGAAAAATCCCTAATCACGATAACCCTAACTCAGGCAGATGTTCAACCCCAAATTTGCGGACCTTAATTGCGAGTTTCTCCACGTCGTCGGACCACTACAACTCTTCCATGTAAGCCACCGCAAACGACGCCTCTCGCGCCTTCATCTTCTTTGAGCTTCTATGGAAACCTACAAAATCAGAAACCCAAGGCAGACCTACAGATACATAAGGAAATGGTAAGTGTGAAGACAATGGAGAGGGAAATAGAAAATTGAAAAAACGGAAACAGATGAAAGTCGTGCAAATTCTTTTTTTAACAATTAAGTCGAAAATTACTCGAGGTTCTTAAAGCCGCCGGAGATAAACCCCTATTATAATACATTATTTTTGTAGTGTGGGTATGGAGTGGTTGTTATGGTTGATATATTCAATGTGTTTATATTTTATTATTATTATTGTTTTATCAGTAACTTATCCTATACATGTTTGTGTGTGTGCATGTGAATGCGATGATCGTATAATTTGTGATGTTATACGGGAGCAGGTGATGCTACAGATGAAGATAAAACATGATAGATCCATGAGATGACGGGAAAGAGACTTGGGGTTTTGTTAAAGTTATTGCAATTAAGTCTTTAAAACAACATAATTAGACGTCCTGAGAAGCCAGGATATGTCCGTGGTGTTGGAGGACGGGTAGGCATCAAACAATTCTTTGGTGGTGCTACTCAAAGGGTTACTTTAGCACAACTTATTGAATCCAATCAGAAGGTGCTAAGAAATGAGTTTAAGAAAGAGTTGTTCCCAGAATTGAGAGATGAGTTATTGTTAGAAATCAAATCTGAGATAGCATCCTTAGGATTGGCTATTCAAGGTCCACCAAAGGGAGCTCCCCCGGTTGTTGCTATCACAAAGGGGAGTTGTCCTCTTCCTGATGAATCAAGGGATGGTGTTGATGTCCCTGTTGATTGTGAGTTGTATGTTGATGATCCCCCGGGCATTTGGTGGCCTTAGGTAAATTCAATTTATTTCTTCATTTTCTCTATGTATATAGCAAATTGTGTTTTGCATTAGTCATGCCAATCTCACTCATATAAGTAAGCATTGTAAGAGGAAAAACTCCTGTAGTCTATAATTCACAATAATTCACAATTTGGAGGTTCCCTCCTCTAGACCCCAATAGGCACTAGGGATTTTTAATTCCTCAAGGCAAGAGGTAAGAAAAAAAATACACACCATGCTAAATGAGTTAACAATACAAAAAGAAAACAAAAAAAATATATTTGACTAACAGATCCAATATAATCCAATATAATAGCATCACAATAGATGCAAAAGAGTATGATGTTCAACTAACAAAGCTCTAAGACTCCTGCTGATAAGGGAACCAGAGACCAACAACTAGTTAATTTTTTACCATCCTAAATATTTTACCCCCTTTATCAAGTTAGACAAGTGATATTCATAGGTTTTTATCACTGTAATCCCATGAACCATTCTATTGTTGCCTCAATGTCTTAGGCAGTTTTTTTTTTGGTGTCTTTAACTTCAATTAAGAGAATTAAAACTCCTATATTATTGTATTCTATAAACTTCTCACTTTTCATCCACCAAAAGTTTATTACTCTTCACAAAGTACTATAAGTAAGCACTGTAAGAGGAGAAACCAATTTTAATGTTCTACAGGGTCTGGAGAAAGTAGAACAAATATTAATCAATTTTAATTGTTATACTTTCTTTTTGTTGATTCTAGGCTTTTACTTAATCCAACCAAGTCTACTTGCAATGTGAAATTAAAGTCAGGCTCGACAGCATCCACTTGTACGAAAAATGAACTTCGAATGGGGTTTTGAGATGTAAAAATGCACACAAGTTGCTCTAAGGTTAATTAATCAATTCCAGTAACTTTATATTATGAAATTAGATTTGTTTAAGCTGGGAATTGGAATAGAAACAACATAGATCAGAATATGACCTCCTAACAAACCATTATGCAGGAAAATAAGCAACCTCACACCCCAAACTGAGTTTTAGTGAAACAAAGGACCAGACAACAATGAAAACAACTTTGAAATAGGTATTAACACTGAACCAAGCTGAAGAATATCAGCTTGGTGAAGTTAAACTCCAATTGGTGATTCAAAGCAAAGTCAGCACGGTGATAAGCTGAAAACTTTGCAGTCATATGGTTTAAGCACTCAAGTTGTGCAAAGGCACTTCATAGCTTATTTGATGTGCTTTCCTTGATGCAACAGTAACCACTACTGATTTGGAAAATGACTAGCACCATTATACGCAAAATTTCTTTGGAAATTTATGAAAAGAATTCAAAACAGAATTGAATAATAGTAGCACGACCACATCTGTAGCTTATACAAAACCAATAGAATGAGGTCCCAATTACACATTCTCAATGTGATGAAGATCATTCTCATCTCTTCTTCTTCTTCTTCTTCACATCTTCTCAATCACACATCATTATACATGTAGGGAATCCCTCTTTACTTATAGTTTATAAGATATAAATTGTGTATGCTTTGTTGAATCTTCTTAATATTTACCAAGTTTAATGTTGTAGTTATTCTTATTAGTGTCAACCATTGTACTTAACAATTGTCATTTACTTTTGTGTCTTAGGTAAAATATATAATTTGGGAAGCACCATCCACCATGAGACTATTAAAGATGATATGTTGCGAGTGGTGGTTGTAGATATTAAAGATTGTTCTACTCAGGTTCCTGTTCCTAGTGAGGAGGTTCAAATAGTGGGACAAGCACCAGGGAATTTTTTCATTTAGCCATCCAGATTGGCAAAGCCAATTTTAGTAAGTATTGTTATTCATACTTACCTTAATTACTTATGTATTTCTTGTATTTGGATGCATATATTATTAGACTTATTTTGTGTTCAAATGTAAGACATTTCTAAGAAGACAAACATTGTTACACCTCCACAACCACCATTGTCTCCTCTACAACAACTTGGTGCATCGGTAGTGATAATGGGGAGTAAAACTATTGTGATAAATATGCCTCCTGAACTGACATGCAAGACTGCTACCACCACTTTATTTGTATCTCATACGGATATTTGTGAAATTGTCATTGGTAATGATCTTCTCTCTACAACAGTTCTACGAGTCTGGAATTTGTAAGTTCAACCTTGACAAACCATGAAAATACTCTCATATTGCATTCATGTATTGATTCTAACATTATTTGTTCATATTGAAGGTATTTGCATCACCTTAGCATCGAGAAAAAGAATGCTACTATCTATGGATTTCTTGACCCTGTTATCATTCAAAGTGTAGGAATTAAATCAGAGGAAGTGAAAAAATACTTAACAGAGATGTTTGAAAAAGCTAGTAAAGAGGTCTATTTAAGTACACAAATTTTGAATTCTTGGTAACTAATTTAAAAGTTATTTTTAATTAATATTATTGTCACTTGTATGGGTCATTGGCAATTGCTAGTAATTGTTCTGGATAGTTCTCTTGTAGTTCTCTTATGTTCCTTGCATAAGAAAGCTAACACATTGTCCATCAAAAATATTTTAGAGGCGTAAGTTTTCCTTTCTATTTTGTTTCCTTCCTATATGATTATAATGATATAATGAATGTATATCTTTTGTAGGTCTTTGGAGGCTATTTCAAGGTTGTGGGGTATTCCATCTGTATCAAGGAAGAAGATGCAAATAGTGACACCTAATGTAAGAGAAGTTGACCTTGTTCTGTATTTTATGATTTTGCTATTCTTATGAGGAATTGGCTTATTGGTTTACCAAAATTGATCAAAGCTACATGGTACAAAGGCTATAGCTAGAGTATAATATGATCTTTTGTGCCCTTAGTTTGAATGAGTTTTGATTATTTATGTTTAATTTACAGTGTCAACATCAATTGGGCAGCTATGAGTGTGGGTATTACGTAATGAAGCACATGCACACCATTATTTGTACAAACATTACTGATTCATGGAATAAGGTATTAAAAAACTAACTAAATACTTATCTAACTGTTCATTACAAAATTGTTCTAACTTAATTATTTTATTTGTAGATCTTTAATGATTCATCTCCAATGGAAGCTCCAGACATTGAAGACATTAGAACTAAGTGGGCTTCTTTTATTTTAAGTGTTAGTAAATTGTAGAAACTTGACTACAATGTAGTGTAGGTTAATGTTATATTTGGATTTAATATATGGTTTGATGTACAAATTATGTATTAAATATTATTACACAATTTAATGTTTGAAATGAATTTCATTATGTTAGTTTAATTGAATATGTTCATTTCATGTTATATTGATTATAAATTCATTGACGAGATTATAATATGGGAAATTAATTGTAAATTGAATGGATATGTCAAATGTAATAATGAATTTTTTTCTTACAAAACAAGTTTTATGATAGGTGAACAATGTATGTAATAAAAGCTTATTTCTGAAAAGTATATATTATGATAGGTGAACAATTACTTGTCATAATATATTTTACATATAATGATAGGTGAAAAAATTTACATCATAAAACGCTACATATTATTATAGGTAAATCCAACTACATCATAATAAATTCGCTATATATGACTGATAAGTGAAAATCTGTCATAATACACTGGACCTATTATGATAGGTCACAGAAAGTACGTCATAATACGCTGGACCTATTATGATGGAGTGTTTTGTACGTCATAAAATGCGCAGACCTATTATGATGCCCAGAACTGTGATGTCAGGTTACCTATCATAATAGGTCATTTTTACCTATCATAAAAAGCGATTTTTCCACTAGTGGAAGGTGAAAATGTATTTACATATGACGTCAAATTCCCTAGAATTAGACGTCCAAAGGATATAAAACGTCGAATGCCCTAACGTTAGACGTTAAAAGGTTAGTGAATTCAATAAAAATGTGAGCGGGAGAATGAAAATTCATTCACTTTTTCTTAACGCGCGATACCCTCTTCTCTGCTCAAACTTTTCTATAATGAAGTTTGACGACCATCACATGTAATATTTCCTTCATTTGTTAGAAATGCATGTTAATTAACTACTTTAGGTATGATTTTCGTTTGTTTTGACCGATTATTTTCGTGTTCTTGTCCTTCACAGGCGCATTCTTCTTTCTCTCTCATAAGTGGGAACACTTTATTTCGACGAACCCACCTTCTGAAGGTTAGTTTTCATTTTGAAGAACTTATTTGTTGAACTTGTTTGTTATTGTTTTTGTTGAACTTGTTTGTTGTTGTTTTTTTGAACTTGTTTGTCGTTCTTGTTTGATTGAACTTATTTGTTGTTTGTTATTGTTGTTTGTTATTGATGTTTGTTGTTGATACTACACTACACATTCATAGTTCATGTTTTATAAAATACCAAAAACTCAAATTTGTTGTTTTTCTACTTTTGAGGTCTCATAAAGTTGTTAAAAAGGATCACAATTAATTAAAAACAACAAAAATAAATCATTAACGTTGAATATTGACCAAATTCGACGTTGATTTTCTTTACTATGAACATCGAATTGTTCTATGTTCAACGTCAAATTAACGTCTCCCGGTATGACGTCGACCTCGAATTAGACGTAAAAGGCCAAAAAAACACCGACGTTATACGGTATTTTTGTACTAGTGACTTTGTCACACACTTACCAACGGACATACCATAGGATTTGTTCGTCAGTATTTACCGAAGGATTTGTCCACCGGTAATTACCAACAACCAATATCCATCGGTAATGGTTAGTGATACTGAAATTACCGACGGATTTGTGATTGTTGGTAAACCGTTAGAAAATGTAAATTATCGAAATAAATTAGTTGTTTTCAATGGATTATGTCCGTTGATAATTTCAATTTTTTTTTTATAGTGGACAGAACTACCGGTAACAGATCCTGACATACCTTGATGGATGATTACTTCACGTTTCAATAATAAGAAGCAAAGCACCTCTCTCGCAATTATCCACAATAACAAAGCTCTTCCAAACTTGGTGGTAAATTATAGCTAACCTCGCCCATATTTATAATATGGTGGTGACGGTTCGTCTTCTACCCTCATAGGCCAAATCCATTATGAAATGGCCTACGAGACCCCTCATTCAATACAATGCTTTGGTTCCTACCCCTCCAAGAAGTCCTCGAACATTCATAACATTTATCAATGTCTGCTTTGATTCATGCACCTAATCATTAACATCCCTCCAAATTTGATAGCATATCACTCAAACCTCTTTGTCATTGCGTTCCTTTGCAAACTTCTTTTGCAAAATCATGTAGCCCAACTATCGATCTCTAAGCTCAACTACAAGTTAGACATTTGCACTCTTTGCATGCCTTCAAGACATGGAAATACTAGGGGGATAGTGTATTGTATGTGGTCAGGGACCCATCGGCCATGCTACTTATAACCTTTAAGTGGGTTACCCATGACAAATGGAATCTTATTGTCTACCAAGATCCTAGCAGGATACCAGATACCAAATGTCGACTATCGATCACCAAGTAATATGTCTCTCACCCCAAAGTATGCATCTATTTAACAATCATGTTGTTCACTAAGCCAGATACTGCCTACTAGTGTCTTCGTATGCCTGTCGAAGACATTATCGCTCTAGATAACTTAACCAAAAGAAAATAGGTATAAACTCTCACAACTAAGCTCGTCATTGTGTCTTTGACCCAATGTGTTCATAATTGAGGCTTAATCAAATGGGTTTGTGTTTTATAAATATTATTTTAACCATAATTTGACTTCACTTTTTTCATTAATCCAAATTTTGATCAGAGTCTTTAACTTGAGTGTCAAAATTTTTTTAAGGGTTAAATATGTTTTTGGTCCCTTAACTTTTAGTGAAAATTGGAATTAGTCCCTCTTCAAAACTTTGGCCTAATTTAGTCCCCAAACTTTAAAAATGTGTAAATTTAGTCCTTTTAACTAAATTTTGTTAGGTTTATTTGATGTTTCAAGTGTTTTTCATGATAGCATTTGAGTTGTTTACACCGTTTGACACATTTTTGCTTCAATGTTAACTTAGAAATGAGTTTGAAACATCAAAATAAAGTTAACAAAATTTAGTTAAAAGGATTAAATTCACACATTTCTAAAGTTTGAGGACTAAATTGGTCCAAAGTTTCAAAGAGGGACTAATTCCAATTTTCAATGAAAGTTAAGCGACCAAAAGGATATTTAACCCTTTTTTTAATAAACATTCCATGTCCAGTAAGTTTGATTTACAAGGAAGATTTTACAAGGTAAGTTCGGTTTCAAACCAACAAGTATTGTTTTGTGTCGGAACTGCCACTTGAACCTGTTTACGTCATTGCAACCTTATCGACACTAGCACTAGAACCGGTTCGTGGTTCAACTTTCACTTTCGCCACTTCTCTAGGGTTTGCAGTAATTTTGGCAACTCTCATGGAAGTTTCAAGGGCATTCTTCTTCAGAGAACTCAGAAGCCTTTTCGACATGCAAGCACTATGAATGTGAGACCATCCCAAATTTCCCACGAGGGTTCCACAAGGTCTCTAGAGCTGGGGCCAAGGAGAGAAGCCAGTGTCGGCACGTGGTAGAGAATGAAATTGTACCCACACTGCAACCATAGCAAAGGTTTGCATATGGCAAAGGTTTGCATATGGCAAACGTGAGTTTCCTCCGATTCGCAAGCAAGACTACACATGACTGTGCATGTGACAGTTTACAAAGTTTGTTGAATGGACGACTGCTTCACCTAGAACATTCTCGCCGGGATGGATCGTGCAATCATGGATGGCGTCAAAGTGCTCTCTCTCTCCCTCGGCAGTAGCTCTGCACCGTAATTTTGCGACAACATTATTGTAAGATGATTTTAAGATATGAATAGGGGATTATCATGTTCGGTTTAACGATTCCGATGGACGATGAGAACACCTTCACATCACAACAACAGGTATTTCATCCTCTTCATTGATGACTTCTCTACACTACAAAAAAGTAGGGCATTATCGAAGGCCAGAAGCCCTCGGTAAATGCCAAAGGCCGTCGATAATGGGTGTTTACCGAAGGCTTATCGACGGCCAAAAATCCTTCGGTAAATC